GAATTACAACCAGAAACAAGCTTAGGAAATGGAATAAATTTTTTAAATATGGTACCTGTACAAGCAACTGAAACAAACACTGACCCTGTTATCAGGACCATCAGTCTTTGTTCACACTTTTTTTTCCAGCTATCCGGCTGACAACTTTTTCAGTTGCTCTACCCGACATTACACTGTTTAGTAGTCAGCTTATTGGCAGTAATATCCACTGTACATTAAATGCCAGAACTGAAAGCATATTACCTCAGCAGTTTTGGCAGCTAATTTAAGCTGATCATCGATGGCCAATATACGGAAGGAATAGAATGAACCATCGTAGATACTGTCGAACATGATGTGATAGTCATCCGTCGCATCATCCACAATTAAATCGTCATATTTGCGCCATCTGAAGTGCGCCCATGAGTATGGAAGTCTACAGTAAATTAACTAATATTTTATGCTGAAACCGTAAATCTTCATCAAATCATTGGCGACGCTTACTTCTCGGGCCCGTGCAATCATATATTTTTGCAGTATTTCGTGCTGTAGTAAGTTAGCTTGAAACCCCAGTAACTACAATTTGTGACATACTGTTCCTTGAAGTTCAGGAAGTTAATGGTGTAACTACGTGGTACTTGAGCAGAGGAGATCAGCCTACAAATTCTTCTGGTTCCGAAACTAGCAATTTCCAGCCAAAAACTTTTACGGGCCGTATGTGGGAACTATGCAAACCTGGGGCTGAATTTGAAATCTTTAAGTTGTACTTAAAATTTCAATCCCAGCTTTTTTGGTTCCCGAGCCAGCGATTTTCCTGTTAAAAGATTTCACGGGGCTGTACGTGAGGACCATGAACACTTGGGAGCTAAATTTGAAATCTTTAAATTATGCGTGGCCTGAGAAGATCCTCTTAAAATTTCAGTCTCCCAACCTTCCTAGCTCTCGCGTTGGCGGTATTCTCACTAAAACTTTCACGCTCTCGTATGGGAGGCCCAGGCGTGCGTGGAGGATGGTAACGCAGTCCTGAGATGGCACTTGGCCAGGAAACCTATAGGCAAGATTTCAGCGTCAAAACTTGCCTGGTTGTCGAGTTGAAATAACAGGGCAGACGCATACA